TAGCATCAGGGCTAATGCTAAAGCTAACAGGCTAAGCTGAGGTTCTTCTTCTATTAAACTTTTAGTTTAAAAATCATAAAAACTAAACATCCTACAGTATTTTTAGTCTTTATTTTACAGTTAAAATACATGTTTATTAAATAAAGTCTAATGTTACAACTAATCTTGGATCCCTTTAAATAAGAGAGGGTAGTGTTTGTTTCAACACATCATTTTCCTGTGGTGTTTTTTTCTTCTAACCATACAAATCATGCCACTTTAGCTTCCTCACTCTGCTGATTCCTCAACTTTCGGACACCACAACGAGATGAACCTTACCCGTTTTTTCGTGCAAGTTTTTATTGTTTCTCACTGCTGAATGTTGTCRCCTGTGATTTTTGTTTACGCCATGAAATACTTGACCTGTGTCGGGTTGCTTGACAGAAAGGACCTCAGAATCATGTAAATACTTGAACAATTTTTTTTTCAGAGATAAGCTCGTGTCATAAACTTTTCTTTTTTTTTGTATTAAGATGAAAAAAAAAGAAGAAGAAAGTGAATGTCATCTGAATTGTGTTGCCATAAACCTGCTCTGTGCAGAAACACGGGACTCCGATGAAAATGCAATCAAACTGAAGCCCGTATGAATGTAACGTCTGTTTAAAAAGGCTTCAGTCTAATATAAATATGTTAACAATGTATGTATTTGCTTATTAATATGGCTTCAAAAGCTACCAAAAGACCCTGAAAAAAAGGCACCTTTGTTGCAGTGAATGCACAGCATGTGAAACGTTTTGACGGTTCACTTCGGGGAGGTGGCAGCGGATCTAGCATTTACAGACAACGAGCTCCGAGCGGTGTTATGGTGCCGATAATTGTGCTGTACAGCAACTRAATGAAAAAGTGAATTGTCATCCTTTTATATGTATTCCGTGTATTTGTTCAGTGTGTTTTAATAAATCTTCTGGACAACTGGAACGACGTGCGCTCATTTTTTGCCTCGCAGMCGTTCTGGCGCTTGAGTAATTGAGCCGGGTTCAGCAGGACGTCCCGTTTAATTAAAGCACACGACAACTCCCGTGACACAATCTTCGCGTGTTACCTTGTTCTCATTGTGTCGTGTCTTCCAGTGCCCGCTTGTCACAACTGCCACCGGCCTGCAGCGCAGCGAACGTGATTAACGGCAGAAACAAAAACACTTATTCAGTAAAAGAGAAAAAAATACAGAAGACACTGGGGGTACTTGAAAATATTATTGATGTGTCCCAGAACAGCATAAATCACAACTAATACACACACTTCATGTTTATTTCAACAAATACTGCTTGGTTTTAGTTCAAGAATCGACTTAGAAATAATTTAGAGAAATACTGGATGGATTTTTATAAAACTTTCAGGAAATAGCTGACAGACATGCATCTACAACTGAATAAAGTTTAGACAGTGTTGTATAAAGTACATCAAAAGTGATACTTGAGTAAAAGTACAAGCATCTTATCGTAAAAATTCTTTGGTAAAAGTTAAAGTCTTCTCTAAAAATATTACTTGAGTAAAAATCTTAAAGTATCTGATGTTTTTTGTACGTAAGTATCAAAAGTAAATTTCTGACACAAAATCTACTTAAGTGTTAAAAGTAAAAGTACTGAGTAAAAGTGAGCAGTTAGATTTTCTAAAATGACATTTATTGGGAGGTGACTTCTCCAAAAAATATTTTTTCTAACAGCGTGCAGCTGTGATGGGTTGTGTACAAGCTAATAGTGTGTCAGAATGGTATATATTTATACTTCTCATCCAACCACAATTAAATTCACTTTATCCAGGAGACACAATTTATC